CCTTCTACAACTTGATGATGGCCAAAGACAAATGGAGCCACTTGCATAAAATGGCAACACCATGCTAAGCAATCACCCATTGCACATCTACCTGCACTACCACAATATGCCAGAACAAGTTATGGAAGGACCCTGGGATGGTGAATATTATCTAATCAGAAATCAAATTGTATCTTCATCTAGAAGTTTTCTCATTGCTTCATTATAATTGTTCTCTGCAATTATGTGTAATTCATCACAAATTTCCTCAAGTATTCATCTAGCCTATCAAGATTTAGATATCTTATAAATCTATCTAATTTATTGATCCTTATTAATCTTAACCATTCCATTATTTCATCCCCTATATTTATATAATTGATGTCTTCCCTCTTTATACTAACATTATGTTTGCAATTTTTACTGGATCTTCAATTTGCCTTATAATTTTACCATCAGTTCTGATGGTAATACAAACTCTGGTGTTTTCACCTCTACATACTCGATTTCTTCTCTACTGTCATTGAGAGATTTTAGTGCATTACCAATATAGCTGAAAATTTGAGTAATATATTCAAACATTTTTAGTTTATTTTTATATAGATTGCAGAAATGTTTAATTTGAAAATTATATTAATTTATTAGTTTTATTGTTTTGGTATCAACTGCTCCAATTTGCTATGCAGATTGTTTTCACTTTGCTCTTTACCTATTTGTGTACTGAATTTTGTTTTCTTGATATATCTATCTACCTTGTGTACTTATTTTATTTTCTACTTTGTTCTCTGTAACTTGTTTATAAATACTGTGACAAATTTTTGTTTCCTGGAACATGTTTCACACCACATTTTCTATGTGGCCCAGAAAAAAATTAATATACTATGGTATAAACTTAATTATGTTGAAAATGATGTGAAATTAGCCTCTGGAACACTTTGTGATATAAATGATATAAAAAATCTAGTAAAAAAATATGGTCTCTGTCCAGAACCGGCAAAATTTCACAACAAGACAATGATCTGCTCACCATACCTTCACAGTAATAACTCAACACATATAACACCTTGATATTTTTCTTTTTGGTAGTGGTATGTTGACATTAATGTGGCTCACATCAACCAATCCTTTTTTTTCTAGAACTTGCTTTAAGTATCAGAATCACTAACTATTTTAAAAAAAAATCATTTAGGTTGATTTATAAGAATCTAATTTTTATAATTTTTTACCATTATTATATTGAAGCATCATTGTTTTCTCAAGTTGTATTTGTAATTGAATTTTCATAATTGTGGAAAAAATCTATTTCCCAGGTATCTTGTTCAATTTTTTTCAAAATAATTAAATCTGTAATGTAAATTTTTATTCAATTATTCATTTATTTTGTTTTATTCAAATTATTTGTTTTATTTCAAATTTCGAATTATTTCAGATTATTCATTTTACTCGAATAGAAACCCTAGTTCTGGTCAAGTGCAAGGTTTTCTTTCCAGCTGCACATGTACTATTATTGCAGATGAGTTCTGGTCAAGTGTATCCAGCTTCATATGCTCTAAAAAAAAAATAGAAATATACTACTTGAGGCATCACTACAAGCAATATAGTAAAATTAAAAGGGTTCCTAACTAATAGTTAAAGGTTGGCCAAACCATTAATCATCAGAAAGGATTATGAATCAACCAACTTTATTAATTAATTACAGTTTTTATTATCAAATGTATATTATTAAAAAATTGAAGGAGATTTTTAAGTGTATTTATACATGACTTTTTACATGATTTTGTCCAATTGAATATAATAAATATAATGATTAATAATGAATGTCTAATATTAATTACTAATATTAAATGCCAAAATGCATCATTGATGTTGTCATGATATAAAATGAAACAATTGGAATCCAAGTTGGTCCACAATTTACTATTATTATCTTGCATGGCATTTTCTTGATTTATTTGGGTTGTGTATATTATCATTTTGCATATTTTCCAAGCAAGCTGTGTTAAAGTCAGTTTTCTCTTTGAAATTCTCCCCAACATTAGGAAGTTTTTTCCTACATAGGACTTACATTCAAACCTCATCACGAATAATAATAATAGATGATAAAAATTCGTGGGTATTTTTTTGTGAAATGACAAAATTTTGTGGATATTCTGGTGTTTCACGAAGTTACTGGATATAAAATTATTTCTGAAAATGAAAAAGAATATTGTAAAGAAAAGTTTATTTATGGCTTGAATTAAATAACGCAAGGAATAAAAAAGGCAAACTAAAAGAATGTAAATTGACAAGATACTCTGATAGAATCTGGGAAGGTTGTATTAGTTTACAATTACAGTGTCTTTTCACCACTTGGACATCTGGAAATAACATAATTGATGATTTTATTCAACAATGTCAAATGACATCATCTCTGTCAAATTATATTTTAGAATGGATACCTTTTGAGCAATTTAAAAATGCAAAAAAGTTAACTGAAGATGGGCTTAGTTCAATTTATACTGCAGTATGTTCAAGAGGTTATATAATTAATACAATGAAAATATAAAAGAATTTAGTCATTTTGGAAAGCAAAATATAGTATTAAAAAGTTTAAATAATCCAGGAAAGGCTTTTTCAACGAGGTTGGTAGTTGTTATTTAAAATAAATAAATACTGTATTATATAATGTTAATCATTTAATTACAGGCAGTAAATTATTATAAAATTAAGTCAAATTTAATTGTAACATGTTATGGTATATAACTAAATTTCAGATGATGGAATTACGCAATGGTTTTGAATTATGTGCTAACATTAAAAGATAGAATTACAATCTTTAGATATTTATGTGATGCATTAAATACATGAAAAAGATTTGATTCATTGTAATGGAATTATATCACATGTTGAGTCAAAATCAAATTGTACGAATTAAAAAATTTTGGGTGGAATCAAAATTCTGATTGGCTAATTTGAATTTCATGCACGTGAATTAAAACTCACTATCATTTTAAAAGCAAGATTATCATACTTTTAAATCGGCTTTATATAATGGTTGACCTGAAGTTTTTTAACATAAGACTAAAAATAATAATTAACTTTTTTTTCAAATATCAAATCTAAACGATTTTCTACAGTAATTTATCATTTTTGTCCTTGGACAAAAGTATTCGGACACCTGTTTTTACTAATTATACAAAAACGCACATAATAACTATACATAAAATTTTGTTAACATGTAGCTTAGGTTTTGGTGAATATGCATGTAAATTTTGATGTCTAGAAACATTATAATTAAAAAAATCCGAAATTCGACGAAAATCACGATATTATTTTTTGTTTCTCAAATTTACCAAAATCCTACATATTAATAAAAATAAAAATCGTCAATTTTTAGCTTAGATTATCTAGAATATGAATGCAAAAATTTGTAATTTTGCTATATAGCATAAATAATTTAAAAAAATTAGTAATTATAATCGCATTTATAAAAATCAAGATTGACAAAATTTTAAATGTAAAATGCCAAAAAACAAAGAGGAAAAAATTTGGGCCTTCATGAAGGTACCTAATTGATCCTCGCATATCCAAATCTTAATCCAATTGAACATCTTTGGAGTGAACTAGGGAGGCAATTAGATAAGTGAACAAACACAATACCCCCCAAAAAAAAATGCCAATGAATTGAAAGCTGCTTTACAAGAAGTGCGGTCAAGAACTCTATACGAAACTTACTATAAATTAATAGAAAGTATATCTAGAAGAGTTGAGGCATGCTTTTCTAGAAATGAATAGCCAACTCGATATTTATGGCCAATAGTTTTGATGTATGTAACTTTCCATATTTATCGAATTTTTCAATAAAAAGGGTTAATGTGTTTGTCATTTACCTTATATATCAGAATTTGTGTGTCTGATTCATTTTGTCGACAATCATTTCGTCGACACCCATTTCGTCGACATTCATTTCGTCGAAAGTTTGTTTCATTGAAAGCTTGTTTCAAAGTTCATTTCGTCGAATGTTCATTTCGTCGAAAATTATTTCGTCACAATAAAAAACTTCATTAAACAAATTTCTCCTCACACTTCCCACACACTCCGCTTTCCTCGCCTAATTTCTTAACTAACTTCCCACACTCCTCACATCTAACTCGCTCGGTCTCTGGCTCGAGGATGAAATAATTTTCGACGAAATGAACATTCGGCGAAATGAACTTTCGACGAAATGGGTATCGACGAAATGATTTTCGACTAAGTAAACGCGACCGAATATATATATATGTGTGTATAAGCTTGAATTTTCTTCATTTGTTTCTATTAACACTATCAATATATACGTAGTTCAACCCATTAATCAGTATCTCATTAATTCGAAGCACTAATTAATACTCTGTTAAATTCCAGAAACAGTTGTAGTAAATCCACCCCATTAAATCAAGTTTACTAAACAGACAGAATTTTTAATATTATTAATAGCACTAACGTCTTCGGATTAGCCGATTTGATTATGTATATAGATAAATTTGCAATAATGGAATATATATTATTTTTTTTTTGATAACAAAAAATACCGACATCTCTAAAAATGATGGATCAATTAAAGTGAGAAAACATTTATAGTCTAAAGAAGAAGATTTATTTGTAATATTTATTAAAATATAAGCGCTATATGATTTATAACAACAAAAACAAAATGGAAATTTTATTTTTAATGACATATTTAGGACAGAAAACAACAATTACTGCACACTTGTGAGAACCATTTATACAAATTTAATAAGCAAAACATACAGTGCTGTCACAAAAGCTTGTTCTAAAAAAAGCCATCAGATAATCGATTTGCATCATGCAGCGGCAAAAGCATAATTCGCGCAATGCTCCAGAGTATTGGTAATATTTATTTATTGTCAAATTTAATAACAATTTCTTTTTGATATGAATTAAAGCACAAAATTTTGTATGAATATTTAGTAAAGAAAAAAATTATTGCTATATATTGTTTTGCTATTTGTTTTTATTTTTTATTTGCCTTCACAATAAACTTATATTTGTTGTTTCATTTCTGTTGAATAGGTACCAGTATTGGAATCTTCGTTTGTATTGAAATCTTCGTTTGTATTGAAATCTTCGTTTGTATTGAAGTCTTCGTTTGTATTATCATTTGATAGATAATAGTCGATACAAGATGTTCTGTTAATTCTGGTGTTTGTTAAAAAAATCCTTCCGATAATGATGTTTCCAACAGACCCACTTAGAGTCAATAGAATTAAGTTAAATGCAAAATGAAATGTACTAACACCAGCATCAACAAATGAAAACGCCAGAATGAGGGTTATTGAAGCTAAAAACACCATTCGAAAAAGAAATTTTTCCTTGTAACCGTCTCTATCGTTGATAATTTTTTGTAAAACCAATATTTTTCTTATGAAAAGAAACAAAAGTGAAATGATGAAGAGTGCTGCCAATATGTATATAACAATCATATATTTTTCGACGTTATTAAAGTCAGAACTTTTGATAATGTTTAAGATAATTATAGAAGCCAAAATAGACCCTGGGATAATTATATAGTTTAGACAAAAGTTGCTAATACGGAGTATTTTATTATTCCATATAATATTTGCGATGGAGAAAATGAATGACATGATAAATATTACCCCAAGTGCTGGTAGAAAAATTAAATGTACCATTTTATGGGCATCACTAATAGGATTATTTGGGCTGGAGACGATTTGTATCACTCTAATCGCAAAAACTGTGAACCCATAAGAAATATAAATTACATCTAATGCTTTATCCAAATGCGGCTCCAGTTTTTTTTGGAATAGAGAAGATAAACATGCCCCAGCGAATAATAAAACAAAGGAGAAAAAATTTTCAAGGTCTGCATCATTATTATTATCCATTTTGTGGGTGAATATTGACTAGTATTGAGTATTTATATGTTTGGACTACACAATATATATCATTGAATTTGTGTATAAAACACAACAGATTTATTGTGTTTCAGCTGCGTGAAATTCAAATTAGTCAATCCCCCAAAATTTTTAATTGCCGATCCAGTGAGATGTCGATCTTTTTAAAAAACGGAAGTAAAATTTTATATGATGCAAGTCACTTAGTCCCACAACTTTTTATTGGTCGTGTAGATTTTTAAATTCTCCAAAAATGGAAATGCAACACCCCAAAATAAATCATGTATTTGAAGCCAAGACCTTCCTCTACAAAATTACGGTTTCATCTTATTGATATTAATATGTCATGTTGTTGCGGAGAATCTTGAGCTTCAAAGTTGCACAAGTTTACCGAATTTACTATGTTTAGTCCTAAAATGACGTGTATATAGCACACAAAAAAGTTAATATCAAAAATAGACGAATTGAAACAAAATAAAAATTTGAAAAATTTCCCTTATATTGCAGATCTTTTGTCACGTGAATTTTCCAGATGAAC